TGACAAATTGGTTTCTTTTTTGTTGCTGAGATTTTCAGGTTGGAGAAGAAGCTTGATTTAGTATATTGCCCTTTTTTTAATTATTTTTTTTTCCTAAAGCAGTAAAAATGAAAACTAAGAAACAACAATGGAAGCTTCACAGTTCTTTCTTTATACTTTTATGACCTTTCCCCATATTTATGTGTACAATATATTTGAGTATAATTCCACATGGGAAAACCATTTATTGAATTTAATTTTTTGACTGATGTTATCCATGCAGCACCACGACTCATCCTATAAAGTAGCAGTGTTACTATGTCCTGGATGATCTGTAAGCTTACACTTGCAAGACTTTTTCAGGAAGAACCTTAACCAATACAGGAGAGGAAATGTCATGATCCCCTTTATTATGCAAAGAAGGTAATTTCACAGGTGTTGCAATGGCTTTCTCACAGAGGTCAAGCGAATAACCCATAGCACAGTAATTCCTCAAGGAGCTGAGGAGAAAGCTATTCTTTGCATTCAGCAGCAAGCTCCTTCTCAGCTCTTTCCTTCCTCTTCTCACGAAAAATAACCAAAACCAATAACTGAGGGTATAAGTTGGAGACAGAAATCCAGTTTACTTCTGGATTTCTCTAAAAAATAGTGAAGGGTTGAGTTTGCCACTCTGTTTCCATAGCCAAGAGACATGCAGTAAAAGCCTGTGAGAAAAGAGCAGTCTCAGGTATATTTATATTCTGTTTTTCACTCTTCTTGCAACTTCACAATCAACACCTTTACTAGAATAAACTTGCCTTCTTCCTTAAGCTTTTGTGGTGTAAAGGGTAATAACTGGTGAGTGATCAGCACACAACATGCTTTTCCAGAAACAAGCAATCTAAATAATACTGTGTCATAGAGAGGCTCTTTGGGGACCTGCACCTTGCAGTAAGTTTGGGAGTCTTGGACTTAGTGCACATTTTTTACTGAGCCACGAGTATCATTTTAAGAATGAGAGGTATGCAGGGTCAAGAAACAGCAAAAATCCTGGACAGGTATTATCCAGTGCCACTTAGTATGTTGGAAGTAATGGAAAGACAATTCCTGTATTCAGGAAGTTGCTTATAGCCACACATGGGAAGTCCCAAATCTACCTTGTGTTTTTACAAACTGTAGAATGTGATTTGTTATTTTGATATAGGTAATGTCTGTTTCATACATAATTTGGGAGGTGAGTGTTTGGGGCTTTTTTAAGTGCCATTAGTCTATTGAAAAGAACCAGTGTCCTTTGCAGAAGTTAACTCTTTTCATGTTGATTATTAGGATTTACACCTTAATGCTCATTTAAGCTATCATACAACAGCTTTAGAGTAAGGACTTTTTCAGTTCAGAACTATTTTTATTATTTTCTTCTGGGGTCTTTTTTAAGCTGTCAGCTCCTAAATCCTCTCTTATAAGTAGGAAATTCTTTTGCTGCCTCCTACATTCATTCTGTCTGGCAGAATTGAATTATTGGGACAGGGAGAAAGAGCATAAATGTTGGTATAGTTTAGCTGTCCTACGGAAAGGTAGGTGAAGATTTGTTTTATGTATGTATTATTGCTTGATGAAAAAAGCACTGAACTACTGTTTTACTTAAGTTGGAGAAACGTTGCATTCTTTTGAACGAAACAGTAAACATTGGGGACCTTTTAATATATTGGATTAGTTTCCAATCTAGTCAAACCAGCTGAGTAAGCACTCCCAGAGCAGAGAATATAGGCGCTGCAAGCTTCATGGAATGCTTATATTTGTACCAAGTGTTAGTAGTCCCTGGATGTTGACTGCATAGAAGCAGCAGTGTGCTTCTTAAGGTTGGTTTTCATGCTGCTTTTTTACAAACAAACTAACCAAAACAAGCTGGGAATCCAAAGTGATTTTGTCCAAAATAACCAACAGAGCTGAGCCTGGAACTACAAGTCCTGACTTTGATTCTGTGTTCTGGTCCCTATCAGGTTTTACCATTTGTTTTAACACATGCAGGTGATAAGAAGAATAATGTTTATGATCACTTAGCATTTTGATAGATTTTCTTTCATCCATTTGCAAACAAACTATTTTTGTTTTGTCTAGAAGTTACTGTCAGTGTTGATTTATGTCATCGTATTTAATATACATCTCTATTGTTTAAAAATTTTGTTTTGTACATGGCTGTTCATGGTTTTAAATTATGAACACAGGAAGAGCATCTAAAAGCCTCTCAGCTTTCCTGTTGTGTTTGTCCCACATGTAAATCATTCATTCTGGTTTTATTTCTGTAACACTATTACTATGGAACCAGGCTTATGAGTTATTTTGTTTTGGGTTTGTGCCAAAGACCACCCCTTCTTTACCTAGTTTACACAATTACCTGATTTGGGCTGGAGACATCAAAGGCAGATGGACAGGTTGATAATCAGATCACTCTTTTGTGTGGCATTTACTACACAAGTTGGCATGAGTTAGCTGTACCAACGAGCTAGGCTTGAATAGACATTTTACCCTTTTCTTCCCTTTTCTTCCCCTCTTTCTTCCCTCCTTCCTGACACCATACCCCTCCCCCCCCACCTTTTTCCTTTTCCTGACATCATACTCTCTTTTTGCAGCTGTATCATGACTGGAAATTACTGCCAGTGACAAAAAGTAAGGAATAAATCAAAGTAAGAGTCATGATACAGCTTTAGCAGTGACTATTGCTTTCAAGATATTACCCATATTTATATTCCATGTTTTACCTGTCATCTCCATTCCTCTATAACACAAGTTTTGAGCATCTGGATTTTGACTTAGGTAAATGATTGGGCCAGATCCATTCTGTGGGCCCTGTGTAATTTATCACAGCTGAATAAATTAAACCATTTTAAGCCAGCTGTATACACACGTGTAACAGTGAAAGATATGAAATGTGTACACCTCTTAAAGAATAAAGATTATGGTAAAGCAGGTAGCTTTTACAGGAGGGTAGAGGTAGTCTTTCCTGTTTCTTTATTTTCTCATTTTTACAATTAAAAGACTCAATTTCACGTACAGTTAGTTGTCCCACTAATTTAACAGGCTTGACATAGTCATGAGTTGGTGTATATTTTGTATGCCTGAGGTTTCATCAAGGGATCCCCTGCAGTCAGTACAAAGATCAGTAGGATGCTATTTGAACTGTCCTGTTCTGTGATTTAACAGCTAGATCAAGCACAGGATCCATTAGCGTGTGATCAGTTGTCCTTTCCTCTGAGCTACCGTAAACTGCATCACAACCGAAACTTGGGAATCTGTTAAACAAGCCAGCTATCTTCTGTTTCAGTATTGGATAAACAAACTCATATGTAATGCAGCATGAATCTTCCATGAGTTTAGATTTCGTAACAGGTTACCAAGAAATTTTGATTAAATTCTGCATGATTAAATAAAAAATTTATTTCTCAGGTTTTGATTGTTAATCACAAGAAGATATTTCAGTTGGATAAATTTTAGTAGCATGTCACATATAATTTTCTTAAACATACCATTTCAAAGAGCTTTGTCTTTGTAGGGAATGAATACATGGCACATGATCAGGACTTTTAGTTCATCATGTACTTGGAAAAGCAGTGTGTGGAAAACACAGTTCGAAAAATTGCAAAACCAGAAATTTGTAAAACAGACTTTAAAATTTTCAGTTGTAATTTCCTAGCCTTCCACTTGAATACCTGGGTGCCTGCTAAGGAAATATTGTATGTACTGGCTGTTGTGTACAATTATACATCTATTAATATAAATTGAGTAGTTTTAATGGTCTGCAATACAGTGGTTTACAACATAATCATAGAATAGTTAAGGTTGGAAAGGACCTTAAGATCATCTTCCAAACCCCTGCCGTGGACGGGGATGCCTCACCCTAGACCATGTCACCTAAGGCTCTGCCCAGCCTAGCTGCAAACGCAAACAGGGATGGAGCATTTACCACTTCTCCAGACAACCTGTTCTAGTGCCTCACCACCCTCACAGTAAAGAACTTGTTCCTTCATTAAAGTAAAGTTAAACTTCTAGATACATTGTATATTTCAGGTTTGAGTAGTATTTTGAGTGAAAGCCATTAAATGAGGCACCGAGTAATGTACTTTATTCTTCAGTTCTGCTGCAGATATAATAATAAGCAGCTATTTAGATAACCTGCCTCTTTGCTATATGTGGTATACAACACAAGTTTTTTTGTGGGCTCCTTTTTTTTTCCAGAAAGTAAGAATGCATGATATATTTTATTTTTCATGATTCAGGTCATTGAAATAAATTTTCCTGTCATTGTATGTCGTTATCAAGAATATAAAACAATTCACTGGACGACTAGTGCTACCTAAATAAATAGACCTACTTGAAAAAAGTAGTTCGTTCATAATGAGTAGTGTTGTAACAAACCTGGTTTTGTTTGAGACCTTACAGGGATCCCAGACCCTTGTGACTTCAAAGAACATACCCAGTTTAGCAATCTTTCAGTACCTGGATTTGTGTCATAAAGTACAGTAGATAACAATAAAAATAACAATTTATCTAAACTTCTGCTGTTGCAACAAATACAGCTTATTGGAAGGACTTAGTTGCCACTTAAATTTCATTACCATAGTTCTGACTTTTAAATAAAATGAGAAATAATTTTCATCAGTTTGAATACTGATTTCTGTGTTATGGGCCTAGGTTATTAAAAATACTATATTGTTGGCAAGGAAGATGTTTTATATTAAGAATGTGTTCTGTACTGTCATCACAGAATTCTTCCTCTTAGTTTCATTTTTCTAACTGTGAATCAAGAAGGCCATGACGTTCACTGGCATTAGACTTGTATGCAAGCTTCATGCATGTTAATTTGTTTAATGGCACAGAATGAGATAATTTCTCTTTCCTATATTGCAGTACAAAAGATGGTACATATTGTGTATTACATTCTTTATACCCGATTTCATGTATATGTATTTCAATACTCAAGCCATAGCCTTTAAAGGAAATTAAATAATAGGACTAATATGTCAATTTTGCATGGTTTTTGCTTTCAGAAATTGGCACCTGGAGTTAGTCAGTTTGCTTACACCTGTGTGCAAGACCATCCCATCTGGACTAACCAACAGTTTTGGGAAACAACCTTTTATAGTAATGTGCAAAATCAAGTTCGCTCCCTCTACCTTTCAGCCAAAGATGACAACCATGCAGTACAGTTGAGACAAAAGGTAGGAGAATATATTATAAAGTAAATACCAAGGTAGTATTTTTATTCACTTTTTAATTGTCTCCTAAGTTATAGAGCTATAAGTTGTGGTTTCTCCCATTTAATGTATTTTTCTTTCATTTTTGCCATATTAAACAGCATAAAATAACATGAAAAATAACAAAAAACTACATTTATCTGCAAAACATTATAGTTTGATGTTGCTCGTGATTTTTCAAACAACCACTTTTTGTATAAATTTCCACACTTTCAGGTATAAGTTTTTCCTGAGAGTAGTAACTTTTTGCATAGCAGTGTTACAAACATATGAACAATCTAAGCTAGCAGCAGTTCTCATGCCCAATGTTAGATTATTACCAAACCCTAGGGTGGTTTCTGTTGAATGGCACTCAGTCTGCTTTAGTGAAATTGGACAGATCTTCCAGAACACAAATTATATGTCTCAGTAGGATGAAAGTACCTCTGTAATGCAAAAATAAAAGTATAATGGGAAGCCTTGCAGCATGCTAAAATAACTCTTTTTTTTTTTTTCTTTTTTTTTTTTTTTTAAAGGAGCATCACATACACATAGGAAAGAGCCGTTTGTAATCTCTCTTCTTGTATGTTTATTATCAACTATGTGACTGAAAAGTGTATGCTATCCAAAGTCATACAGCACTGTAGAGACAGGAAGTAAAATAGAGATACTCCCAGGAAAGGAGTCAGAATGAGGAACAGAAAAGGCATGTCAGACATATGAGGGATAAAGAGCAAGGGATTGTGGGACTGTGTGTGGGGAACCCCTTAAAGTCTGACTCTATGTAAAGATGTGGAGAGTAGTAGAACTTAAAAGCAAGCATCTACTTTAACCCTCACATGTGTCCATGTGGAAAATTTGGTCAACTTCAACTTAGTATAAAAAAAACATTTACAAGATACCTAGTCCTTTAATAATTTATCATCAGGCATTATGTCACTAATATTGGCTGCCAGATTCCTTTATTCTAACTTCCTCAGGCTATAATACAGTTTGACTATGTGCAACCTACCTGGTTTGTTTCAACCAAAAGCTAGACTTGGACTCAACATGTAAAAGCATGAATGTTTCAGCTGGTCTGGAAACTATTTATATAAAAGCTTGCTTCACCTGAACATCCAAGGAATTTGGAGAATATTACCTGCATGAAGCAATGAGCTTCTCAATCCAATTTATGCTTGCTTTTATGTGAGCTAAGTGGATGAGCTAAGGAGAGCAACTATATTAAAATCAGTAAGCCACTCTGAAGAGACATGGGCGATTGTATAGCATAAAACACATCTAGAAAGAAATTGTTATTTAGATCTGTCCACATTGTGCTACTTGCATATTTCAGTAAACTGCTTTCAAAGCTCAGTTCCTATAATCATAGCTCTTCTTAAACCCTATTGAGTGTAGTTATTTGTTTTTTCTTTTAAAATTAATATACAATTTACTGAAGAAGATTACTAAACAGCCTTTTTTATTTCATTCTACATGTCTTCTAGGAGAAAAATTCTGTAGGTTCAGACCAGGATAAGACAGCAATGGACCTGGCTGCTGAGCAATTGCGATTGTGGCCAACTCTTAATAAGCAAATGCAGCAGGAGCTCATCCAGAATGAAGAAAGTACAGTTTTCAGTCAGGCAATTCATTTTGCTAACCTCATGGTCTACCTGCTAGTACCACTGGATACAAGTAAGAACAAGCTGTTGAGAACATCAGCTACTGGTGACTGGGAGAGTGGAAGCAACAGTATTGTCACAAACAGGTGGGTGTACAACTTCAGTGGTAATCAGTCAGGATAGGTCACAGTTCTCAAAAGCTTCTTAATTTTCAGGATTTGTTCTAAATACCAGATCATTTCAGTATGTTCACTTCTTCTCAAGTTCATTAATTAAGTAGAGTAGTCTAACATGGTTCCTCTTAAATAACAGAACTCAATCTGGAGCAATCTACCACCATTTAAAGGAACATAAAAGTTTTATTATTACAGTAAGAGTTTGTAATCTAGTAATGCAAACACTAAAAGCAAATATAGGGTACAATGAGAAAGAAAACAGCAATCCAACACCTACTGTTATATAACTTGAAAAACCTAAAATCATAGAATAGTTAGGGTTGGAAAGGACCTTAAGATCATCTAGTTCCAACCCCCCTGCCATGAGCAGGGACACCACACACTAAACTATGTCACCCAAGGCTCTGTCCAGCCTGGCCTTGAACACCTAAAATCAAGAAAGCGTTTGTATAGCATCCATAAAATCCCAGTTTCAAAAGCTGCAAGGAAGAAAGGCACTGAGGTCACACAAAGCAAGAAGGCTAAACTAGTATGGCAAAAGTTAAATTACTAAGGAGGCAGGAGGAGTATAAATGCCAGTTACATTCCCTAGCGTTGCAAATCTATAAAATAGACTTCCTTTCTCTCTAGGTGGTTTTCATTATCACCTATGATCTGTCAGAATTCCCACCTGATAAAGTTGTAGAACACTGTGAGAACACCGGCATCACGTAAAGGATAGGCTCCCTATCAGTATCAGACCTTCCCATGGCTACTGATTTCTGCTGACTAAACACGTCTAAACTCAGACATTAGGATGTGCTCAGGAGACAGGTTGTGGTGTATGTTGTAATGTGTGAATCTGACCTTTAATATTATTATGGGAAGCATTTTTAGACATTCAAAGTACATCTCCCACTGACCTGCTTGCACTTTTATCTGATGCACAAACAACTATTATTATGACCTTTTTGCTTTTGAATGCTTTGCTCTGCAACCAAAATATTCATTTAATGTATCTTTCTCTGTGTAACTGGATATTTGTTTACCATGGGTTGCAAATAATGTATTTGACTCCATGAAGAGAAGACATAGAGCTCACTTCCAAGCAGCTTTTTTTCTCTTGTGGGCCTGTCTGCACTGGATTCATGGAGGGAAAATTCTCCTATGTCATCATCCACACAGTTCTAACAGTGTTAATGAAAAGATGATGTAACTGTGGCACCACCGTGCGCTTTTAGCAAGGTTTATGAATTGTAGCTAGAAAAAAAACCACCACAGCTTGTCTGTGTCTAGCCAGATACCACCTTTGCATCACCAGTTGAAATTTTCCAGGCTTGAAATTTCTTTTGTTTATGTCTGTAGTATTGCAGGCAGCGTTGCAGAGAGTTATGACACTGAAAGTGGATTTGAGGACTCTGAGAACAATGATGTTGCAAATGCAGTTGTACGCTTCATCACGAGATTTATTGACAAAGTTTGCACAGAGAGCGGTGTTACACAGGATCACATCAAGGGTCTTCATTGTATGATACCAGGTAGGAATTGTGATGTGTGGTTTGTAGTCTTTCTTTTTTCTATTATTTTTTCTAGTAAGAGAAATGTACTTTTTGGTTTCAGTTACTTTCAGTGAAGTTACAAGCTTAGATTTCTTTTCTAGATTGTAATTGCTGTTGAATTTCAGTTAATTATTCCTTTGATGTTTAAATTTGAGAATTTCAGAATATCAAAGTTTTAATTAGATTGCAACTTTCTCTTTCGTATTATGTAAGTCTTCATTTATAGTATTACTGCTTTCCAGGCATTGTTGCAATGCACATAGAGACCCTGGAGGCTGTCCATCGTGAGAGTAGGCGGCTTCCACCAATACAGAAGGCAAGTGTTATGAAACATATTTGTATTCTTTACAAATATTAGAATCATTCAATTTAGTCATCTTTTTTTCCTCTTATAATGGTACGAGGAAATATCAAAACATTGTAAGAAAATTTCCACCAGTGATAAATAAAATGCTTGGCTTTGGTCTCATGAAATATGAACTTATAAAACTAGTAGAGCCAAACTTCTGATCGTAAGCAAGCTATTGCATGCCTAATGTTTTTTCAGACCCATTTCTCTTAATCGAGTCCAAACTCCATCTTCCTTCTTTGGACTCAGTCTCATAACTATTTTGTTTTCAAATTTTTTTAAGCCAAATATTAGAACTAGATTGAGGTGTAACACTGATACCACTGTTACACTTTCATTTATTTGCATCAGCCCAAAATTCTGCGACCAACTTTACTGCCAGGAGAAGAATTTGTTTGTGAAGGTCTCCGTGTGCTGCTGGATCCTGATGGCAGAGAGGAAGCTACAGGAGGACTGCTTGGAGGTCCTCACATCCTCCCTGCTGAAGGAGCTTTGTTCCTTACCACTTACAGAATTATATTTAAAGGCACTCCTCATGATCAACTGGGTAAGAAAAATTAAACAGTGAGAACTGTACTCCTTCAGACAGGCAGGACTTTGAGCTGGCCTATCCACCTAGAATAGCATGAACATAAAAATGTATATAGCTCACAGTATAACTTTTCATCTTTATCAGATAAGAATAATCTCTTAATACAGTTTTTTATCACTACATGTAACAGTCATTGACTTTGAATTTACATTTAATTTAACTAGAACTTATTCAGGTAAGGCATTAGGTGCTAAATATTTGTTTACTCATGCGTATAGTATTCCTGTCTTCAGTAATTTATGTAATATCATAATATTATGAACTTGTCTTAGAGGAAATTTCAGTAGGCTGTCCCATGACATTATGAGTTTTCACAGACTACTTAAAGTTGGAGTCAGAAAATAAGGACATTCATGACTATATTTCATAATTTCCATAGACTTTTGAATGGACAAAATGCTTAGTATATTTGTATCTGACTTCCATCTGTAAAGTTGGTCTAATAATGCTTCCTTATTTGTAAGCTTCTTCACTACTAAGAGAGAATAAATATACTGTGTGAGACCTGCAGCTTCTGCTGCCCCTAGCTTTTCATTAAACAATGGTTTTTTGAAGCACTGGAAGTCTGTTAAATGAAACATTCATGAGCTAGTATTCTCTCAAATATCTATTAATAAATTCAGTATTCTTTTGATTATGTACTGGAAACAGTTCTTCTGAATGATAAATCTTTATATTTTGACATCTGGCATTTCTAAGCACATTGTCTTTCAGAAGTATAAATTTATTGTGGAAAGTTCATGGTCATGCCAAAAAATATCAGTGTATATCATTAATTGTTTATAAGTTGTATAATGCAATATGAAATTTGAGTAAGATTGAAACTGTTCTGTCACCCCCTATCAACCTAGGTTTTGGGTGTACATTTCCATCGTGTATACAGACTTGGAAGGAAAGAGATTATTTTTCTAATCATCCCAGCTGTAATTAAGCAGAAATTCAGATTACTGATAATACTTTAGGAATTTACCTTTTCAGGTATTTTGCCTGAAATTAATTAGGTACCATTACTTTTGTGTTGCTTTGTACTCCCTCATTCGTATCTATTCAAAGTACTATGTGACCAAACCAGATCTGATTCTGTGGTCTTAACAAGTATGTGTAAATACAATATTATGGTCCTCAGTTGGAGAGCAGACAGTGATCCGGAGCTTTCCTATTGCATCTGTTACGAAGGAGAAGAAGATCACTGTACAAAACCAGCTGCAGCAAAGTATGCAGGAAGGACTGCAGATCACTTCAGCTACCTTTCAGGTAAAAGGAAGCTTTTTAAAAATTTACGTGACAGCACAGCTCAAAATATTTAGGAGCAGTGCTTTGTTCTGATATTTGTGTTCAGTTTTCTGCCATCTAAAGTCAATAGAAAATGAAGTCCTCTCATAGAAACCCTGGCGTTTCTTGGCCTAGGTGATACTTAGAGGGTTTCATTTACAAATTTGATTTCTTTTCACTCCTTTCATCGCCTTTCAATTTTGGATCCAGTAAAGGGCTATTCTGGGAGCAAATCTCTTAATGTTGAATAAGTAGAGGCCTAGGCAGGCCAGTGGAAACATGCTTTCTCTCTCCTTCAGCAACATGGAATGTATATGGAAAAGCTATAAATACTGCCTTCTTCTCCAGACTTGTCATTTTACCAGCGTTCTGTAAAAATCCATGGCAGAAAGTCATGGCACACCTCACATGGAAGCTGCACTTCCAGGAGTCTTTAGGCTAGTCACCATTGGCCAGAACCAGTGAGCGTCCATGCGACTTGCACAGATCCTGACTTCTGTACAGGCCCTGATAGTTTCCTGTCTGTAGGTTCTTGCCTCAGTGTGTTTAGAAGCATGTACTGCAGGGTGACTGATAGAGGTGGACTTCTAGGAGTTGGGAATCATGAGGTCTCTGAAGTTTTCCCTCTATGTTTTGTCCTGGTGGTGATCTGGGAGGTAGTCAAACCGTAGGAGATGGAAAGGTGAAGGCAAAGAATTTTATATCATGGATTGAAAGTAGACTGCAGTACTTAAGATATGAGATATTTATTGGGTTAGGTGACTCCAGAAGTGTATTTTCATTGAGAACAAAAACTAACATTTGAACACATAATAAAATAGATCATGAGCATTTTACTAGTTCCTTAAATAACACACATTATTTAGCTAATTGTTCATGATTAGATATTGCAACAAAATTCTTCAGTGGTGGTGAGGCACCAAGCAGGTTACTCATGGAAGTTGTGGATGCCCCATCCCTGGAATTGTTCAGGGCCAGGTTGGATGGGGCTTTGAACAACCTGGTCTAGTGGAAGGTGTTCCTGCCTGTGGCAGCGGGGGTTAGACTAGATGATCTTTAAGGTCCTTTCCATCCTAAACCATTCTATCACCCTATTCAAAAGCGTATCATTTGAATAAAAGTGAGTAAAGCAATTGACAGAAAGTTCTTGCTGTGGACTTCACAAGGACTTCAATTTTCCGGGAATATTTTTACCAGAATAGTTAGCGTACTTCAACAATGTGCTAAATACAGACACAGCTCAGTGTTTTCTGTGCTGGATTCTGGTCAGACGTCATCTTTGTTTTTGTTTAGCATAGTTTTGTATTAGGTTATGAGAACAAAAACAATCAGCAAACAGTTTACTTTCTGTTCCCTTTGTAACAGCTAGAGTTCAATACAGTATGAAATAGCCCCTCTTGTTTGCTTATTAATTGTGACTTTCAGGTGTTTGCTGCAGTTATGCTATTTAGTCTCTTTAAAACTTAGATCAGTGTGACCCCTAAAGATTCCAGAGCTCCTTTCAAGGAGGTCCTAGAACAACAGAGTTATTAGTCATTTGGAAAGTATTTAAAAAACAAGTGAATTTAAAAAGCAGTGATGAAATGCACCTTCTAGATAGCAAAGAAAAAGACACTGAAATGGTTTATAGGTATGCCTTCAGAAATAAAGCTCTAGGATATTTCTTTGTTTGCTGACTCCTCATGGCTGAGATGAAGAGTAGGATTCTTTTATTATTTTATTTTTTTTCCCAAAAAGTGTTTCGAAAAGCGTTTTTAGTGGGTAGATAGATCAGGATTGAATAGCACAAGGTTAGTCCATTTTAAGGATTGGATTTCACTATTACGTTTTTATTAGTAGTAGCTTTTTATACTTTGCAAGGTGAGGTAAAAATTGGAATGGCTGAGTAATAGAAGTATAATGGTTTTGACTTACGAATGCTGAAATTGTTGGTTTGATGATAGTCTTTGAAGTGCATTACAACCTTAGTTCCCAGTATATGGGCAGAGCTGGCAGAGTATTTCCAAGCTTAGCTGTCCCGTGTGAGTAGTATTTGAACTGTTGTAGACATCTTAGTGTCAGCAGTACTACTTGGATTTAACAAATTATTTGTGTTTGATATGATTAGAATTCCGGATGCTTTTTAGTGAATATACCTTAGTCTTAGGACTTAAATGTAAAAAAGAAATAAAAAATTAATAACGTGATATCCCTCAAAACCAATATGATATATGTACATGTATTTGTATTTTTCTGATGAGCATAGTACTGCATGTATGCGAGTATAGGAATTTTGCTAATATATTTTAGGATCTTTTAATTTCTTTAATTCTATAATTTTTTTTTTCTGTTTCTAACATGTCCTATCTTTAATATGCAGTTAATTAAAGTAGCATTTGATGAAGAAGTAAGTCCTGAAGTGGTGGAAATATTTAAGAAACAGTTAATGAAGTTCCGTTATCCTCAGTCTATCTTCAGCACTTTTGCATTTGCAGCTGGGCAAACAGCACCACAGATAATTTTACCGAAACAAAAAGAAAAGAACACGTCATTCCGGTATAGGCATTCTTCTTCTTTTATTATTAATGTTCTCGTTTCGTTTCAGTCAAATACATTGAACAGTCTGAAAGCTTTACAGAAACGCAGGCACTTTTTAGGAAAGTCAAAATAACTGATTGCTATTCCATGTCTTCTGATATTTCCAGAATAAAAGATAGATTAGTAAGATATACATGTTTGGTATAAATATGTATTATTTATCCAAATTTCTGGCTGCAGTAAATTCTAACAAGCGTCTCATTACATTTTGGAACACATATAAGTAGCATCTTCAGTTCTCCAAACTGTGTCAACGTAAAAAATAGATTTCTTGTATATTACTTTATAGATTAATAACTTCATGTGGTTTGTAACTGATTTTACCATTAATACAGTCTGCACAGTTGTCCTAGTGTTTTTTTAATCTGAAGTATGAGCTTTATCCTCTTCTGATGTTTGTTATACGTACATTTTTAGTAGACTAGATGGATCATTAGTCTGTTCTAGAGTGGTAGTTGCTGTGATTCTCTGTGGATTATTGCATAGTTGACACAGGAAAGTAAAATCCCAAGCTAGTCAGGGAATCCTAAAACAGCAATTTCTGCCTTTCCTACCTTTATACTTTGTGAACTTTTTAGATATATCGCATTGCTAGCAAAATACAAATACCTCAAGAAAGATGATGGCTGCTTGTTCATTACCATTAGACATAATAGAAACAAATTTATCTCAAAGTGATAAAATTGGTGTTTAAAAATTAATATAGGAAGTAGATTTCCTGGTTATAATTTTTGTCATTATATTAAATGAAAATTACGTGAAATACATTTTATTTGGATAAGTGAGTTCATCATAAAAATCTACACACTATTGGGGAAAATCATATGCATCTTTCTAAATATTTTTATTGCTATGAATTTATAGTACCTTCTCAAAAAGCATTGTGAAAGGAGCAAAACGTGCTGGGAAGATGACAATTGGACGCCAATATTTATTAAAGAAGAAGACAGGCACAATAGTGGAAGAAAGAGGGAATCGCCCAGGCTGGAATGAAGAGGATGATATCTCTGGTAATAGTGAACCAGTTTCCATGTTGCTTGATAAGTCTGTCCTATTATGCTTTCATTCCAAGATGTTGAGTAAGAGATGTATTCAAAAAGAAATTGCAGAGTCTTCTTAGACAGGAAAGAGAAAAGTTTCAAGTATGTACACTCAGTAAGCATTTTCTTTTGTAATGATGAGACAAAAGAGGAAGTTGACTTCATTCAGTGGTAAAGCAAAATACTAGATAATTGTCTTTTATCAAAATATTTGCATATATTACCTTCTTACCATTTTTTATATCATAATAATGTAGATGGAACAGCACAGAAGAATATTGTAGCTCCCATTTATCTTTAGACATCATGATGACGTCTGCAATTAGTCTATGATGAGAAAGCAGTAACTGGTGAGATTCAACAAAGAGCAAATACTATGGGAGACTTTCAGATGTGGAAGTGACAAATGATTACTGAAAACAGCAAAGGTCATTACTACCAGAAATACCTTTTTTCCAAATTTTGGTTGAAAGAATTTTGAGACAGAAGGTAGAAAGTGATTTGGGCACTTTGTATAGTTTGTGTTGATGTGGAGTTTGACTCTCTTACAAGTACTTTTGCTACCATGCGGTGCTGTCAGTACATACTTATCTGGACCAGTGCTAATTTATGATAAACCACTAGAGGGAACCAGATTCTCCTGTACGTAAAACAGGTATTGTTTTGTCGTACCATTCTTTCTTTCTTTAAAAAAGGCATTTCAGATAATGAAGTGTTTATCAAACACTAATAATCTCTTCAAAACATCAAAGAAGCCAAATTTTCCTTTGGAATATTTGGTCAGTGAGCAAGGCAACTTATGTGACTTGGGAGCAGATACATAAACAGATAAAAGTTGTCTGAAGCAGGACCATCTTACGGCACTATTGCTGTTCTCTTAAAAATGGAAGAAAGCTATTTCAGGAAAGCTAAAAAATATTGTTTCTCTTCTTTCATTCCGGATAAAAGTGATGGAAAAGGGGCAAAAAGAAAGGATTATAAAACACAGGATGTCTTTACAGTGCTGACAAATGACATTCTTAATTTAATTTTTGGCATCTTGCTTAAGTGCTGAGTTAGTATGTGTTCTGAGTTGCAGATTCTTTGGGTCAGAAGCCATTCTGCAGGCTGTACATGCATGATTTTGAAGCGATTTTGTGTCCTTCACCCAAAGACACCAAACATAAGCATACCCGTGTATTGGTACTTCTCTGAACAATGAAGAAATCTTTAAGAAGTTTTACATTGCTGATGTACAAAACAGCTACATTCTTCCATAAGCACAGGTGCTCTATAACCATCAGTGGTAGTCACTTTTTTACTTCCCTTACAAACCTACCTGCTGCTTTCCAGATGTTTTGACTGGGAACATGTAAAGTGATCAAAGTCTGACGGTTTGCTTTTCTCTCCACACTGCACTGACACCTCAGGTGTAGTCAGCTGATAACAGTAGTAACTCTTTGCTTCAGACAGAGTACAAATAGCCATAGGAAATTTGCTTTTTAATCACTGCAATTTCTTTTATATTGACTGCCGTGAATGGCTTTTTGTTTGCAAGTCTCAAAAACTGACGTATAGGAAGCTATGCAGCTCTACCAACAATTAGGCAAATTGGAGCTATCTGCAGCAGGTGATGCATTGTCTTTAAAAAAATGTTAAAGATAGGGTTGGAAGGAACTTCAAGAGATCATCTACTCCATCTCTGTGCCCCACAGCAAGATCAACATACTTAATCTATTCCTCACAGATGTTTACCTAACTTTTTCTTAAAAGCTTTCAGAGATGAATGCTCCACAACTCTAGGCACTTTGTACTAATGATTTAACCATCCTGTTGCTGGAGAAAACAAGCAACCTTCTGATATTCAAGCCTAGATATTTCCTTGCCCCAGTTTAAAACCTTCACTTCTTGTTCTGCCACCATATACATAAAGAAGAGATGATTCCCTTCATTCTAATTGCAGTGCTTAATATATTTATGGACTCTATTGTCCATATTTTCTGTTCTCTGGATATGAAATGTCTGCAGTTTTTAGTTCTTTGTTTATTAGTCTGGATAGACTTCAAATCATCTTCATTGCTCTTGGGCATCTTCAGCAGGTCCACATATAAATTGCAGTGTGATTTCCAGAACTGGGGACAGTAGTCTAGTTATTATTTGCTACTAATGAACACCTACTTTCTCTCCAATTCCTCCCCATCTTTTTATTTTCAGAGCTTAGAATCTTATCACTACTAAATTCTGTTTCCTATAGGTGATATTACTGGTGTGTTCCATAAAATGAGAGACTGTAAAATCACTTCTACGAACAGTCATATCTCAGGACCAGTAAAATACAGGGATTATTCCTCTTATTTTCAAAATCAAATTTAAAAAACCCCTATTTTAAATTTGAGATAGCAAAACATCTTCATCTCCTTTTTCAGGTTATGGATACTGACATGAGCTGTTATAATCCCTAGCTTTTAATGCACAGGAAAATATTTTGCAAATTCTAATCACCAACATACCTGCTTTCCTGAGAGAAAAATGTGTTTAGAAAACAGTATTTAAAAAAATGCACCCTCCTCTTACTTGGGTCAGTTATAGCTTTCCATTCAAAACTGTTAAATACCAAGTTTCTTTCTAAAACTCATATAATTCATTTCTTGTTGGCACCCTTTATACTTGTAAATGTTTTATAACTTCTTTCTTATCATAACAAATAGGAAAACACATAAAAAAGAGGAGCTATCCACAGTGTTAAACTGTTTTATTTAGGTCCAATAGAGAATTGTTGTTGTTTGATGAGCTGCAGGGCCAATAAAATTATTCATTTAACTTCTCTGCTAAAATGCACACTAAAAAATGGGTTCTACTCCTGTAAATTCTTAGCATTGTCGACTGCCAGTAAAATTTTAATTGTACTATAATTTTTAGTTTTAAAAATAATTTTAATTTCCGCTTTTATAAAGTAGTGTTTTAAATTAAAATCCTTACGTATTTTTTAATACTTCAGTCATGAAGAAATATTTCCCCTCATATGCACGTATTCCCATGCTTGAGATGGTAGCAAGTAACTGATACATGCTGTGATCAGTAAGTCTACTTTCAGAAGTATTTGGAAATAGTTGGAAGTGTCAATAACAGGCAGGTGGCAGGTATTGCACCAAGACCTTGCTTGACTTGAATTTCAGTGTAGTTTGAACTTGTGACATGTTTCTTCTCTCTCATGGTTAAGGGTTTTTCTGCTTTGGAAAGTGCTGCTGACACTCACGGCTGAAGAAAGGTGCTCTTTGACATTGAAACTGAGGCATTAAGAAACTAACAGTCATCTGTTGTGAAATTATGACACAGAAACGGTTTTTTTACTTGAACTAAGCCTTAAAATGTTTGTTATATCTTTTGAAGGTAATTTAAAAGGATTTCGAGGTCCATTTTAACTTGGAGTTCTAAGGAATTTATGTGCACATTATTTATTATTCTGGCTTGTGTATATCTTTGTATAGCAGTTGTGAGTTTAACAGGTTTTCATAAACTGCTGAAAGAAAGATTATCTGCCTTCAATTCCATTCAGATGAATATATGAGATAACAGTTTCCAGGATTTTAGCAAGAGAACTGTCAGCCATGCCAGTCACAAGTGCAGTAGGTAACTGTGCAATATATTCAGGCTTCCTGACTAAAATATTATTTTATTACTTACAATTCTATAAACTGTGATTTATATGTATTAGTTCTTGTCACTTGTCACTGGCAGTAAAACAAACTAGTATTTTGTTCGAAAGAAAACAGCGTTGTTTTCTTGTCTTCCCCAATGGCAAACTCTCAAAGATTTTTCGCTTCAGTTTCAGATGACAGCGAGATGCACACAAGTGGTACCCTAAAAGCATCCGAAAAATCAACAATGGAGCAATTAGTAGAAAGAGCCTGTTTCAGGGACTATCAACGTTTGGGACTAGGGACCATCAGTAGTAACTCTTCCCGTTCAAAAACAGAATACTTGAGAGTAACTGCACTGAACAGGATGTATTCACTTTGCAGGAGGTGAGTTTACCAATTCAGTGAAATTGAAAATAAAGATGACATAACACACACATCGTATGATGTATCCATTAAAGCAGCTTATTGTGAGAAAATTTTTGTTCACAGTAGGAGTGTTCAACCAGTGACCTTGAAGCTATTTGTATTCCACTTAGAGATTTGTCTTCTGGTGGCTGCATATGTATTCATCAGATTCGGAAAGACTGCCAACCATGGTAGTCAGAAGTGAGCTTTCAGAACTACCCCAGGAGCTCTGTCAGACAACACAAGTCTTACTTCCTTGGTTCTTTCTATAGCCCATAAAAAGAGAGTGCCCCTGGGGCTTTTGGAAGGTCCTAACTCTAAATACTCTAAATTGCCTTTTAAAGGAGTTTCTCTCTCTCTGTTTTCTATACTGATGTCTAAATCATTAGGCTATTTGCATTAAAATATGATCACTCCTAAATGAAAAAGCAAGCCTTGAAAAAATTATACGTAACTATTTTCTTCATAAAAAGTATATTTTAAAATTTTATTTATGAAGGTATCTACACTACTTTAAAAATTTGTCGTGTGCTGAAAGTCATGTGCTGTGTTTTAACATGTGAATGTTACTAACTTCTTTTTTGGTGTGAAAGCTGTTGTAGTTGATGAACACTACTCACAAAAATTCTTTTTCATACAAAAGGCTATCTGCATGGGTCATATCAGAAGAGCATTTGTATTCTTTAAAGCCAGTTTTGGCTAGTCATTCCTTTCATTATGGATAATGAAATCACCAGTTTTTCATGAAAGCAGGGCACACAGGAAAAATAATAGAGCCTGTCTTGTTTTCTGACTTGTCTAGAAAAACAGATTAATAATCAGTTCTGCTCAATCACCACTGACTACAGTGCAGGTGAAGGCATTAAATCTACATTATCATTATGCTTTGAACATTATGCAGACAACTCTATCCTAAACCCACCACGTTTTAATATTTGGTAGGATTTTTTGGAAGAGATTATTAATGTCTGAGTGGATTAAAAATCTGAGGATATAGATACATATCAAGTGCCATATTAGTTTGGTTTACTGTGTTTTGGGTGGACCCTAGATAGTATGTATGTCGATTTTGTATGAGGGCAGTTCAATAAACGTCAAAGAATTTAATTTACAGGAACAAAGCTTTATTAAGCACTGACTTAGTTTCTTCTCAACATATGAAATTGGCACTTAAATTGAATTTTTTTTTTTGGAGGAGATAGAAAATTATCTTTCATAGTGCTTGAATACTTCTTTCACTGAACAATGAACAAAACTACCATCTTGCTGGGGTTTCTATTTTTAAAGGTATTACATCAGTGAATTTCCTAATCTCTCAATATATTATAGTGTTTTAAAAAGTACACAAAAATGCAGTTTCAGATTTATTGTTCCAAGGAATCTGACTGTAAAATTTAAATGTATTTTGACATAAACCAAACCCTATTGTTTTATTTGGGATACTTTAGGCAATCTAACATTCTTTCCTTTCAATTCTCATATTTCATATACAAGTGTTGGAATAAAACTACTGCATTATTTGAGTGCCCCAACGTTCACTTTTCTGTCGTGCTCAAAAGTATAGATTCATTAGCCATATATAGCCACTTTCAGTGACAGATAAGAGATACATAAGAAGAAAAATACTACCAAATAAAATATAACATAACCTTAAACGGAGAGAGATTAGTAGTGATAATCTTACTTTTTTTAATTTTCATTAAAGTTGTTTTCAAAATGCAGTTTTCTTTACAAATGAATGTATTTGCTAGGATTGGGCTAAAAATGAGTGTTGCTAAATAAATAATTGTAACAGTTGGGGTGTATTTTCATTAAGATGTATATTCAGCCTGTAATTTTAGGATCTTTTTCTTTTCATTGTTTAACATTTTGAAAGCAATTTTAATTAATTTTTCTTCCCCAATTTTTTTCACCATTTTGTCAATATAGTTATCCTGGGCTTCTGGTAGTACCTCAGTCTGTTCAAGACAGCAGTCTGCAGAGAGTTGCTCGCTGTTACCGTCACAATCGCCTACCAGTTGTTTGTTGGAAGAACTCTAGAACCAGTACTCTTCTACTTAGATCTGGGGGCTTTCATGGAAAAGGTGTTGTTGGCCTCTTCAAATCCCAAAACACACACACTACAGGTGAATTAATGCGGTTAGATTTTCTGTGTAAGTAATTTTATGGAGAAATAGTTACTTTTCTAGTGGAAGTCAGTGATATGATTGAATCAAGTCTCAGAATATGAATGGTTGTCTGATATTATATTAGTTCAGTTTAGTTACTGTATGCCAAGAAGCAGATCCTGAATGGTATGAAAGTGGTTTAAAAAAGTCAATGAAAAACTTAATCAGAGATTATGTATGTACTAAATGTCTTCTGCCAAACGTAACGCAAACTTACTGTTTCCCTTAAACTTTTTTCCTTTGCATTGGTTAATATGAGTGTATGTTGTTCCTTTTAATAGAGGGTTATACAAAATATTACAGAGACCATTATCCACTGTTTTTTCTCAAGTTTTTAATTGTCATACTAGTTTAACTTTTATCTTCCTTTTATAAAGCATAGACCTGAAAGACAGTTGGGGTCATTGCATTAAGTATATCCCTTTTTTTGTGTGCTCAAGACTTGACCACCACAAGATTTGTCCAAATAGGTATTTTTTCAGAAGAATATAACCTTAGGGCAACATTCATTTTGGAAAGAAATTTAGTTGACTTTTATCAGTCACAGGCAGTGTTTCACATACTTATTGTGACTGTCTGTATTTACCATTTCTTATGCTTATAGTTTCGTCAGAGTTAATTTCATGCCAAGAGTGAATTTGGCATATTGCCAAAGAAAATGTCAGTATTCTCTTTAATCAAAGTGATAGTTGCCTAGAAATTATTCTAGAATTAAGCTGTAATTTTTCTTTTTTGAGAAAAAGAATATGTGAGGTAGAATTGGAATAACAGGAACTCATTAAGGTAGCAAAGAAATTCATCAGTCCTGTTTATGTTTGTATTTTACCCCAGTAATGACTAAAACACAATTAAAAGGTATTACTCTAATGGGGAGTTTGTTCTATTGAATTTTTCACAACCTGTAACAAGCATACTGTACAAATAAGTGCAAGTCACATAAAAGTAGTTTGAAGATTATATTATTTAAATATTTTCTGCAGTCCTCTTGAATTTTTCCTTCACAGAGTATCTTAATGAAAACCACAGTTTTCCTACTTGTAAAGAACAGTTTATATCAGATATATTGTTTACCTATATGAGGTTTTGTGTATATCAAATACACCTTTAAAATCTCACAATTTCAGAGATACTAGAAGAACATTTGTTACATTAACACTGTATTTGTGAATTGTTAACAATTAACACTGATTTGTGAACCAGTAATTATCAGCTGAATAATCACTGCTTTAGCATTGCTTCAGTATGTCTCTATGTTTTGTGGGGTGTTTTTTAGTTGGAGTGAAGAGCAAGGTAATTAATTTTTATATAATGCATTTTTGTTGGAAAGATTCATAAAATGAATCAGCAGAGTATTTCCAGTAGTTAACACAGCAGCTGCCAAAGCTATGAGCTACACCAGTTGTTCCACTGGTTTATGGTGTGAATCGTAACCATGGTAATTAAAATGTTAGTCTTATAAACTGATATAATACTGATTGTTTTAGCTGAAATGCTGGCCAGGCATCTTAAACCTAGTATAAATAGAAGAAATGGAAGAAATTCTGCAGGAATAGTCTGCAAATTATAGAAAGACAAACACTTCCATGTTTTCTGTTGTAGCTATCATTTCTATGTGCATGGGAGTATGAGAGCCCATGAGATCCAAAACAAGATCTTCAAAGCCTGGCACATTAAATCATGTTTCCTTTGTGTAATCCCATCACTTTTGTAGGTGGTTTCTTTTTTTAATTTTATATAGTCCTTTATATTGTTACTGCATACTTCCAGCAGTGTTTTAGGCAGTAGATTGACAATAACTGTTGGTCAGGTACTAGCTTTTGGAGTTACTGTTTCTTTTAAAACGTGAAGAAAAGGGAGACTCTTGTCAGGAAGGTACTGCAGGGAAAATGAAAATATTTATAGGATATTTAATTCATCATGAAGTTGAAGCTTGGTGAAACAAAACTTTTGAAGAAACTGAGCAATAAAGATGGTTATACATAGGTGCATGTGTTCGTCCCAGTATGAGTTGTGTACAGTGAAGGAGAGTCTATATTGAAAAATTGAATTGTGATGCAAACTAAGAGGACATAGATAATCTTAAATTAAATTAATGTTGACAGATGCATACCTTCCCAAGCAGAAATTCCATAGGAGTAGATTTCTGTTAGGCAGTTCTGGATTTGATAGACAGAAACAAAGGGGACCTGCTGGAACTTTGTAAAATAGTTGTGATTTCTTGTTACATTGTGTGTTAAGTAAGTTTTCAAAGTATAGTTGGGAACAATATGTTATATCAGAAGCACAGAACATAGTTTTTTAGAGAAATTATGCACAGTACTGAATTGCTGTATGGAACCAAACTACATGTGCAAGGGAATTGTATTTTTCTGAAGTCTGTCCATAAAGGATTATTAACAGATGTTTAAATATGAAGATGTTGACTATACAGGTCTTTTCAGAATTTCCTTTGAAACATGGAAGTTGGTTTCTGAATTTCACTTCAGCCTTTCTGGGTATATTTCTGCAGAGCACTGTAGTTCTAAGTATGACATTCTGCACCTGAATTATTAAGAACTGGTTAAATGCCATCTAGGAATACCAATTATGTTTCTTGTATGTAGTAACACTATCCAAGAGGACAGTTATTTTGATACAGGCTAGATTATTTACTATATTAGGAGCTGATGTAAGATAATGGTGGATTCTCTCAGGCATATAGAGAACATATTAGCAGCTGAGGCAATCTTACTGCATTCTTAAGCAGTGCATTTCATTCCTGCATTTATAATATTGCTGGAATCTCCATCTCTTTTGCTTAAACCCATGCTGTTGTGATGGCCTTCATGCATGATACAGCGTTTAAAAGATCACTTATTTTATAGAAATCCCTGTTCAGCTGTGCAGGTAAGGGGTTAATGCTTCAGTCACCAATTGGTTTTCATCCCTTTATACTGCTGTTGTGCACTGTGTGATGGGATGATTGGTGGTAAAGGTGAAGGGCAAAATTTTCCTCGGTCTTTAATTCAGGTATTTGCTCAGTCCAGTAAGAGATTTTCATATAAGTCAAGCTGTTCATCTCCCCAGTGTCTTTCCTGAAACACACACAATACTCTTCACAAAATAAAACCCGGCAAGTGCCAGTGGTAAGGCCATTATCCTTTTATTTAGACATTTCATTTCCTTTCTTCTAACTAAATTGTTAAGACCTAAACCGAGTTTTTGTGGCATTGCTTCAAGGATTTGGGGAACCAGAAATAGTTCAAGCAGATTTCTAGATGTGTAAACCCTGCTTAATAGTTGAAAAGAGAATAATGTTTTTCTTCAGGCTTGTTCCACTTTGTCAGGCAGAAACAGCATGATGTTTCCTGCATGTACATTTTCTAATCATTCTATAATTGTACTTCCAATTCAGACACTGACTTTAAATGGTCATTTAGATACTAATTTTAACAGGGCTCTCTTGAAATTTCTTTTGCCACCTCCAGCTAGTTAGGTTACTGTCTATTAGTCTTCAGCATAGAATCTGATGGGATCATCGCTGAAGAAAGCTATTTGTAAGTTACCACTGTGGTTCATCAAAATGTGCTCAAATTCTTTGACTCTAATCTTAGTCCAAATCTTGGCTCTTGAGGTTAAGTAAGCACATCCTGGTTTAAGCAGCTATGACATTTTTGTCCAAAGGTGGCTGCAATAAAATAGAAATTAAAAAAATTCGTTTGGCATTTGAAACAAAAATCTGACTCGCTGAGATTGGACACTTTTTTGTCATCCTAGTATGGTGCAGGACCTGACCTTCAATCTCCTTCCCTTCCTTTGAGTCCTTGTACATGGACACAAACGGCTGGAGTTTTTCCGATTAAGACTTTTTTTTTTCCTTATTTTTGAGGGTTTTTTCCTTGGTTCTGTGTTTAGTTAGTGGATTTTTAACTTTTTAAAGTCTGAAGATTGTCTTTAGTGCACTGCCTGTTTCACTTCAGTACTGTCTCAGAGCATCATACTTTCTCATCTTGCCATTTTATTTTCTCTGCCCTCTGTTTTTAAACTGTCTGTTCCCCCTCTGGCTTTGCTGTCATCCAGTCTTTTGCAGCACTTTTCTCTCTTTGAAATGATCCTTCTTCCTGTCTCCAGCAACTTAAGCAACATCAGTAACAACTAGAAAATTACTCTTTTTCCAAGATCTGTAGTCATCTGAAACTTCAGACATTTAAAGGATTATTCAGCAGTTTTCAGAGAAGAAATTGTGGTACAACAGTGCAGACACCTCACCTCTCCTACTCACACACCCCCCTGCCTTAAGTTACCTAAGCATGTAGGAAGACACTTCGTGAAGTTATTACCTACTGGTGAAAGAGCAGGTGGGCTTGTTTCGAGGGAACAGGAGTGTTACTTTTCACAGTTGGAGATCCCTTAATGTGTGTTACCCAGGTGTGCACACAGTGTCCATCCTCTTTCCTCTTCTTTCCATTAAAAAGGTCAGATTCTGGGAGCAGGTTACCTGCAGGACATGTAGGTTGTGTCTGTTGATGCAGCAGAATGCATGAACACTGTTGTCTTTTGAGATATGTATTCTTTCAGTGAATGGGCAATATATCTCCAGGAATCTCCAGTTATAGGTAAGTAATCTTGCTTTACTGGAATGAGAAGAGCTGGTTGAGTATGGTTTTAACTTGCTTTTGTTAAAGAAACAATTCTATCTGTTCGCTACGCATTTTCTTTAAAATGGTGAAATTTGCTGAAAAGTAGCACAAACTTAGACATGTTCCTTTTCATTCTGAGAGTGAAGGGAAAACTGTAATTTCCATTCTGTTGTATTCATCACTGGCTAATGATGAATGTTTTGGGTAGTGACCATGAGGTAACCGACTGTTTCGGAAGTTTAGCTTTGTAGTGTGGAATGCAAGAGTGCATTGCTGGGTGCTGCTCTCCAGCCAGGTGACAAATGTTTGACCATTCTTTGTCATCAAAGGAATGGCTTTTTGAACCTTAGATAGACAAACCATGACATTCTCAATATTCTCTTTTACATAATAACCTTTTTGTTGTGTTATTCTATGTATTTGTAAATTTATTTTTATTTTAATGTATTCCATTGTTCTTGTGACTTAGCTCCTACTTCTTTAGAATCTTCAAGCAGTATAGAACAGGAGAAATACCTACAAGCGTTACTGAATGTGATATCCGTCCACTGCAAAATGAATGGCGGTAACACTCTTACTGCTAGACCAACAATTGCTCTGTCTCCAGGTAAAATAGGTTTACACAGTGCTTTTCTATGGTTAAGTTTCAAAGTGAGTTTTCTCTGATTTGGTGTTAATTCAGTGACCCATATGAATTCTGTTGTTTCTTTACTGTTGCACTTACATGTTTATAATCTTTCCCAAAATACTTCTTGGTATTCCTAATCTGACAGTAAACAACCACCTGTGGGTCATAGTTTTTGAAGAAATCACTTGAGTGAGATGGCCAGTCTCGAGGCATTAGTAATTTATTACAGTTCTGGAACAAATAAAGTTCTCCAGAATATCAACATGCCAAAACTTTCCTTTTTTCTTTCTTCTTTTTTTTTTTAATCAGATGCAACATTTACATTATGTAACAGAATCAAAAGCCAATAAACAGTTTAAATACTTTCATAACAAATTAAGTGTATTGAAAACTGGATATTGAATAAGAGACTGCCAAGATGAAGAGAATGCAAAATACTACTCTGTTTCATGTAAAGCAAAATATGAGATTACAAGCTCAGATTGTACATGAGCAGACATAGTATTTACTTGCAGCAGCAACAGAAGCAATATATAGGCATTTTCATGTGTATTACATGCTCATAATGGGCAAATAATGTCATTTTAAAGTATAGCTTTACTTGCAGTATAAACTTTCATAATACTCTTGAGTTATGCATATGTGGAACCATGAAGAAGTGAATGCAGGTTTTATTTCAGTTATTATGTGATGAAACTTGGTAAGGCTTATGTGAAGGTAACCCCAATGTCTTAGAAAGAGGAGTATGTCACTTGAAATTGTGTCTGTCTTGTCTTATTCAGTTGGCTGCAATTGGCCTAATGTAGCCAAACAGTGGCTTTTCTTGTAAAATAACACCAGTCCCAAAGTGTGTATGCTTTGCTTTACTTATTGTAAAATATGTCGGTTGCTTAGCTGTATCTAACATCTCTATACTGTTGCCAGTGTATACATGTCTTAAAAAATCAATCTGAAGTACAAAACTAGCAAGATTTAGCTGTATTGTGTGGAAAAGGGCATTTTATTAGTTATGTTAAGTATTAGTCTGAGTAACACTGTAGTTTTTTAATCTTTTGTTCTTTTTTCTGGCTGACTTTAGGCACTGAAAGGAGGGCTTCAAGAATGTCTACTGTGTTTAAGCAGGTAGTGCCAGGACATTTGGATGTAAATCTATCCAATAGCTTTGCTCAAGGAGGTTAGTAAGACTAGCTCAAAGTCTGTTATTTAAAGTAATAAATGATAACAAAATGTTAGTGAAATAAAAATAATTACACTGCTTACCAATTCGTTACTCCATGAAACAACAAAATAGAAATTACAGATAAGCTTCAGTCATTAACATTATTTCAGTATCTGATTTCTGTTTAAATTCCTTACTTACCATTGAAGTAAACCTTGTTCCATGTTGGAAATCAGTGGAAAATTAAGCACTCAGTTGTGACTTAAGTTTCTAAATACTTTGTGATTCATCAGTATTTGTAATTTGTCTAAAATGTATGGCCTGAAAATGCAGATTTTTTATTATAAGTGAATGCACTTTAGAATCTCCAATTAAAGACCATACTGGCATTTGGCTGAAGGTTAGGTGATGCTTCCTAAAGTTATAAGTAATCTATCTGAATAATATTAGTCTGGGTAAGGGGGCGAGTTAACGTGGCTATGCATAGTTACGGGGAGATAGAGTTATTCTTAGGTAAAAGGGCTCATCAGTGTCATTTCTACAAGAAGCTTTCATTCTGTGAAATGGATTTCAACTACTTTTGTAGTCAGATGAAGTTGTTAGGCTTTTTGATGTGCAATGCATGCATAAGTTAGTGTATCAAATTCCTTAAATACATGTTTGTTAGGATATAAATTATTATATAAATCGATGGCTGTGCCCAGCCTGACTTTGTACTGGAATAGTAAAAATACTGGGTAGCTGACAGCAGATGTTTTGTTGTGTTCCATCCCTTCGTGTTGGGACAAAAGTGCCAACAGCAAAGTGGTGCTGAGGGGCAGTGAAGGTGCTCCAGATAGTACAGGAAAGCTTGCTGGCTGACTATATGGAAGTTGTCTTTTGAAGATAAAAGGATTACTGAAGTAACTGTTGCAGATTTCTGGGGTTAGAGTTTGTGGTAAGTGTGATAGGATGAGTTTGTAGCTACTCAAGGAATTAAAAAGGAGTCTCAAGGCAGTATTAGATCACAGATGTATTGTTATGTTGGACATTGAAGTCTAAGTCTCTTGGCTAAATTTCAGCAGTAATCAGGAAGAGGGCAGAGATGTTATCTTGTGTCTTGCTGGATTGATGCCACACCTGCTCTATATATCTGAAAGGTGTAATTACAGCCCAGTATCTGCAGTCTATTCACAGTTCAGCAGCTGGAGCATAAGAATGTTTGACAAGTACTGGTGGAGGTGAGAAGTTGACAGGGTAAGACAGAAGAGGGAAAAGGAGTATCCCTGTAGAGAAGTAAAAACTAGTTTTTTAGATTAGCTAATGCAGTTCTAGAAGAAACTCTAAAATACACAAAGTATATAGAATCTCTAAAATTGCTGTTCTCAAATAAATTGATTCACTTGATTTATTATTTCAAAGTTCTTGACTACTTTTTCACAGCTAGGTACATTTCACCTGTGAAGTAGTGTTGAGACAGTATGCAGGACCAAAATACAGGATTTTGCTCAGCTGAAAAACCAGATTTACCCAGGCAGTCTAAAACTGGTAATCTCTCCCGTTCATAATCCCAAAAAGAACTCAAAAAGAAAAAAAAAAATAGAAAAAATGGAAAACCAAGGGTGTTAGCTGGGTACTACTTTATCAGAGCAAGCAGCTATGGATTACACGCTATGCAAAATGCAAACAGAGTATTTTTTGGGTTTGATTCCGAATCCTCATTTCTTTCCTTGTTTCTATTGTCACACATACCGGGGCTCACAAGTCAGGTTCAGCTGTGATACAGTAATTGAAAATTACATTTTCTATTTTTTGTGCCAGAGAATGTATTTTTAATACACGTCTTTTTAAAATTTAATTTAGAAGATTTGAGCCGGTGCTTGAATAGTATTTCTCATTTTTAAAAATCATCATTGTTCTGAATACTCATCAATTGTCCTAAATTTTTGTGTCCATGTCAGGTATGATTTTTTACTTTATCTGGAACAATGTTAACAAAGTATTTGCCTAAAGCCCAGTTAAGCTGTTTCTGGTCTGAAGTATTTGGCCGAATACTTATATTTCATGATATATTTTCATTCCTGGACTTTTTTTTTTTGGCAACACTTCGATATCTTTCATAGGAATTGTAAGTTCACTCAAAATACATACCTTTTCTTCTTATATTACTTTATAGTGTGGTTCTATGGAAAAGCAGTTCCTACCTGGCACTTCCGTGGAATTTAATAGAATTAAATGTTTTCTCAGTATGATTTGCTGCTGTTGGAAAAATACTAGGGTATTTACAATTAATGAATACAGACTTAGTCAGACGTTTATTTTAAAAGCAGGAGACATTGAGTATGTTTTAATAGAATATTTGTGATAAAAGAAGTTGCTTGTGTTGATGTGGCTTTTGAGCCAAAAATACACCCTCTGATGAGCATATAAGACTCCCACTGAAAATGAAAATTTTTACAAGGGGAGAGGAGATCTCTTTTGTAATAGATACTACATGTTTTCTAAATAATATACTTTTACACAGTCCTTAAAAATGTTTGTAGATGTATAAACTAACAACTTGCACTCTGATTTGATTTCGAGGCCCATCAAATTCTGTACCTAAAATAGATTAAACCAGTTTTTTTCAAAAAGCGCTGAGGTTGGGATTTTTAATTACGCTGACTTTCAACTGGATAGAAGCTTTCAGTGAAGTATTCAGCAGAATGATTTAATCATTGCATTTCCTTTGGTATTATGATTATGGAAAGCCACATGATGGCTGTGCTACATGTTTGAAACTATTGCAATGACAATGAAAATTACTTCTTTTTGATAAATGGGTACTTCCTTCCCATTTTATATTGGTTTTCTGGCTTGATTGATGTTTTGTCTTGTGATGACTAAGATTTGTGCTGTCTGATAAATCATGTACTGTTAAGAAATACAATATATACTAGATCTTTGGAAATTAATAAGTAACCCTTTTCTTTTCTCCTGCAATGTGTCTCGCTCCAATGTGCATTCCATTCCTTCTTCTGTCTTAACTGTTATCTACCAGTGCTTGGGTACAGAGATAAATGTTTCACTCATTCAAATTCCAAATCAGCAACTAAGGGAAGAGTCTATCAAGGTACTGTATTCTGTGTCCTGAAAGCACATTCTTTCTACCATCTCCATAACTACTACAATATCTTAATACATGCTAAAGTGATGCTGATGGAAAGCCTAGATTCTGCATTAACAAGATTTTGGGGCTTTAGTTCAATGTTGTGGTTTGGTTTGGCTTTGGGGGTTTTTGGCCATTGAATGTATGATACAGTGACAGTGATTCAGTCACATGCTTCACCAGGTTATTCTTTTAATACTGTTATGACCTAATGTGGAATGATCTGTAGAAAATTTTCTGTGTGAAAAGATTAATTTCTGCCAGATTAGAAAGATGTACTAAAAATGTGTGTGCCAAATAATGGAAGCTGGATACTGCTAACAAAAAATAAAATAGTAGGCAAAATTAGGACAGAGATATAACTGTCTTTTAATCATTGTTATGCATTACTGGTAAACATGTTCATCTTCATGTGTTTGTAACCATTTTGTTGCTTTTGATGTGCTACAGGCACTAATGATGGCCTGCATACATAAAATGCTAAAAAATGGCACTGTATTTTTGTAAATATCATCTTTGGGTGCAGTTGTCTGTGTTGAAGCTAGCATATTTTCATACCAAACAAGCAACTATTTCTCTTATATGCTTGCTGTGATTTCTGCTTGCCGAAGTCTTTATTATTTCATCTGTGGTAGCTGAGATGTGAAACAAAAGTTTATACTAAACATACTACTTTGTAAAGTATTGTGTAAAACTGTCTGTCTTTGAAGTGGAAATTACTTAGAACTGTTAGCAAGTCATAAGTTCCTAGCCAGCCATCCTCACTTACTCCTAATTTTTTGCTTACATCTAAGTCTAGCAGCCGGAGAGGCAGACAAGCTAAACTGTACAGACAAGTTGCTGTTGAGGATTACTGTACAGAATTATTCTTTAATAGAAACATAATCCTGCTTCTAAAAAACAGAATAAAATTATTTTGCTGCTTGAGATATCTCAGTGGGATTTTACTGTTACTTGCAGCTTTTTCCTTCAATGAAAGAAATGTTGACTATGCATATTATTGGATTTTCCTGAAGGGGTTGAAGGAGGCTTTTTGGTACTGTAGTGTCTAAATTTCTACAGCTATGAGGTATCTCTGGTGCCTCTTTTGGATATCTTGTTTCACAGATTTATGGACAAGAGTCTCTTCTGATAATCTGATTTACTGCATAATGGGTTAAAGAATTTCACACTGCCATTTGAATGCCAAGTTTAGTATACTTTAAGGGATTTGATTTTCAAGTAGTGCTATTTATATTCTGAAAATCAAGAACCTTTCACATACCTCACATAGGACACGCAAAAACACTCTCATAAAATCCTTGTTACTAAGGCACAAGAAACAGAAAAATATTTACTACTTGTCTTTTCCTCTGCTAATGCTAAACAGGCTTTGTCAATCTGGTTTATCACTACTTTATCTTATGTTAAAAATCACAAAACTTCCTTAGGCGTGATCTGAGCAGAGCATATCTGTGTGCTATAGGAATTTCCTCTTCTGGAAATAACAACAATAGCTGCATCAGGAAGGCACAATATGCAAACAGAAAATGCTATCGAGAGGCAGAGATAATTGGGTTGGTACAGTGCCATTCAAATATTGCTGTGCTGCTTTCAGAGACAAGTCTGTGGTTCCATGTCACAGTGCACTGTTTCAAGTTTGTGTTGGTGCAAGCTTGGACGTTTGTGTGCCATGCCCTGCTGCCAGAGTAATGGCGGTCTCACTGCCAGATTAAACTGTAAGACTGTGGTCTTCTAAGCATCTCTACTCACACAACTGTACCGTAGTTACATATGCTATAATACAGTCATGAAACATTGTTTCATTGTGCTTAAAAAAAGAACTTTGTTTTCATTTATAATTGTCCAAACCAAAATTCATGGCAATCTGCATTTTAATCATGGCATTTCAAGAGTAAATATGAAATACTTTACCCTGAAATGTAATATTGATCATCTGTTTATAGATTTTCATTATAATACAAAATGGTCGATACTTTTACGTTGTCTAGGGCAAAAGGAACACAAGAATTCTAGATAACAGGAAATTTTAAAGTGATAATATTTCTGTTTTTAAAGAAAGTAATTATGTAATACCGTTACTGGTTAGACTTCCAAAATAATACGCCTCTAATGAGGAAATACATCAAATTTTGGTCCCTACTTCTCAAACGAGCAACACTAGCAATTTCATTTCCATACACTTAAATGGACATTAATTACTTGCAAGTTGTGATTCATTTTATCATTGTATTACTGATATCATTGCAACCACTGTCTCTACGATAGAAAGAGCTGTGCAGAGTTTGATTAGTTTCTTAGGTTAAATCACAATACAGTAGGATGCTTTTGACAATTTTTGTTATGAAAATATTCCTTTCCAGTATGTGCTTAGTTATGTCCTATGGGGGATGTAAATGACATGTTTAAGCTCTCTACTTTCCAAATTATGTTTTAGGATGTGCCTTAGTAATTATGATCTCCAGTGCCTCACGCAAAGGGGTTTTAAATTGTTTTTCATCTTTATGAAGGTGTATGGGCAAGTCTTCGTTCAAGCAATCGATTTATCAACACTCAGACCCCATTCATTGATGTTGGTGCAAGACTTGCAGGGAAAGATAACACTACTTCCTACAGCAGCAGCACTTTCCTGCAAAGTCAGCTTCTGAGACGGCAAGCAGCCCTCTATATATTTGGAGAAAAATCTCAGTTACGGGTAATGGCAGTCGTTTCTTTTTTTAATGTTAACATAGTTTTTATTTATATGGCTTGAGTTTTAAAACCCTCATATTTTTGCCAAACTGTAAATAATATTCTAGGTAAGGCAGATTGATAACTCTCCTAAAGGTGTAAAATCTTTTGAGGATTATTCCTACGTGTAGAATAACAATTAATGATGAATAACTAAGTGGGGTTGAAAATTGAGCTCTGCAATCATAAAATATGACAAAGTTAGTGTAAATTAAAATTTACTAAATTATCTTAAAAATCAGTTTCAAACTCACAAAAATTTTGTGAGTAAAGCCATATTTGTCAGTTTTGTGCTGATGTGTAGTAGATCTAAGAGATACAAAGATGGATAACAGATTACTAGAGGAATGGAGTAGCTTTTGTACAAGCTAAGAGCATTCAACTTAGGAAGGACATGGCTAGGAAGGAAATACATTGCTAGGCCACAGAGCTTCCAGCAAAGCCTTCCTATTCCGAAGTCACGATCTCTTCACTCTCTTAACTGTCTCCCTGCATTGACTTTGCATGGAGCAAGGGCAGCAGAGTTTGGCTCTGTGCAGTGTAGCTCCTGGGATAAAGATGAATGATGGGAATGTAGGCAGTGAGACTAGTGTAGCAGCAGAGGAGCTTGCTGCCCCTTTCAGAGACTATTCAGAGCTATTGCAAGGGAAGTACTGGAATTGTTTATCTGTAAGTTCTTGCTTTCAGAGCCATGCTTAATTACACCTAAATGCATGCTGCTGTGCTCTGATTCTGCTGACTACTCATCTAACATTCAGCTGAGTTGTCATCTCAGTGATTTCTACATTGGGAACCATGAAATGGACTTATTTGGAAATTTTAAGGGCAATTTCATTTTACCTGATGTGTTGAAATATGTTACGAAGCAAATGGAATGTTGTTAGTCAGGAAAGCAATTACCAGAGAAGACAATCTTTGTTAATGTGGGCAGCACTTAAACTCACATGAACCAAATTGATGCGAATAAGGACAACCCAGAAGTCTGTCCATCCTGATTTGATTACACAAAAAGGACCATGATGTCTACAGTTTCAGACACCTTTTTGGATAGATTATAATATTTTAGATAAAAGAAATAGTGTTGATTTTTTTATTATCGAGTATTTTCCTAGCTTTGTTAGCATCCTACTAACTTGAATTTTCTAGCTTTGTAAAGAGCTTGGCAGAGCATCTGGTACTGGTCTTAATTCCTATACTGGTCTTGATTCCTGTTTTATTGTGCCAAGTAGCATGTCATACAAATTGATAATGAAAACAGAATTATCATTTTAAGGAAAATGTGCTACTTTTCTCAGTTGCTTTTATCATATATTATTGCAGCATAGCACTCAAAAAAAGCAAGTTCAGTAGTTCAGCTATTAAATTTACTTTTGAACCATGTCAAAATATGAACAGAACTAAGTCTGGGCTTTCACTTTCCTCCATTTTCGCTTGGCATCCTGTGAAGCAGTTTAATGAAGATTATCTGCAAGCCAAGGTTAATTCCATGAAAGAAGAATTTCTGAAGAAAAATTAAAATGTTGGTTGTAAAGATCTTCAGTGATGCTTCTCACATAAGAATTGTTTTGCCTAATAATGTTCTCCATATTAAGCTTTTCATTGTAGTTTGAGGGATTTTTTTGTTTTTCAGCTAGCTAACTTGATCTTTTAATTCGGTCCTTCTCTTATTTCTCATTTTGTAAATGCAGTAAGTAAAACAAAATAGGAAGAAATCTGCTAGGAGAACCTCACATACTTCTTGGAAATTATATCAGGTATTCCCTGATACAATATGACTGCTACTCTGTGTTGAACTGGGTACTTCAAACATACAACTGTCTCAATGTACAGTGACCACTTAGATGAGTCAGCTAGTTTGCAGTTTTGGGGGTTCTCTTTAGATTTGGGGGTTACTTTTTTTTTCTGTATTATTGCATACTAGACTCTGTCCTACACTGCTGCTTTGCCATTCATACAGTTATTTTAATTTTTATTTATTTATTGTTAATTTGCTTTAAAAATACTAAAGTAAGCACATTATGTTGTGCATAAAGAACTCAACAGATTTATCACTTCGGGGTTTTACTGCTATTATTTATTATTATTATAAATGTGACTGCCATGCAGTACATTTTGCTGTTATGAGTAGTACTTTATTATGGTGTATTTTGCAAGTGGTGTAAGGTTTTTTATTATCCTGGGCAGGTGTTTAACTAAACAGATTTTTAATTAGGTATTGAAATACTTAGCAATAAAGCATGCAAGATGTTGAGATTTAATGAGACTGTCAGTGAAAAATATGCTTCCCTTTTCATACAGGGATTCAAACTTGATTTTGCTTTGAATTGTGAATTTGTTCCTGTTGAATTCAGTGACATCCGACAGACAAAGGCAAGCTTTAAAAAGCTGATGAGAGCTTGTGTTCCCAGCACTATTCCTACAGATTCTGAGGCAACATTCCTTAAAGCACTTGGGGAGTCAGAGTGGTTCCCACAGGTAATTTATATGACAGATACTTCTAACAACCTATATGCAGTATTGCTTACACAAAATAAATTTCAGGCTCTCCTGACAGAGACCTATTGTATTCTAACCAGCTGTTCTTCTTCGTTCAGTGTAATTATTTTGCATATTATCAATTTTGTTGTTCCATAAGCATTATTATTTTAATACAATCATAACATGTACAAATGTGGGAGGCATTTTTCATGACATAATTTATGGCTTATAGCATGGAACATGTACACAAGTAGAGATGACCGTTTTTTCTGCCTATATGAATTTATGGCCTTGGTTGTCACTGCTTTTTCTTACATATTTTAAAAATCAGAAAATAAAGTATAGAACAATAAATGAACCTTTTGATTTTAAAACCTATATACTGCTCTTCATAAGTATTCTCATTCTGATTTTCCATGTGCACAAGTACTTAACAAATAGCTGGCATCTGTTATCTGTTGTTGGGATATGGGGAAGTGTTTGCAGGAGAGGGGGGATTCTGTGTATGTTAATCTGCTCTCTCTGTATCTGTTCCTTTACTTCCCTGTCCCGTGTTCCCTTACATAAAGATTAACCAAAGAAAGACAGGGCTGGAAGTAACTTTGCAGGATGCAAGTTACGAAGGATGTGGGAAAGTCAGCTCTTTGTATATCTAAAACTGTTTCAGTTATAGTGCATGTTTTAAGCAGTCGTATGTTATGTTTAGAATATTCTTCTTAAATGCTATTAATCATAGAAAACAGGATAGACTCCTGTGCTGCTTTCTTAAGAGGGAAATAACATGTCATTTCAGTAATTATGCATTAGAAAATGTACTCTTTGGCTGAAATGTGCTACACAGTGCAAAGAGTGGCTTAATTTCTTCCCTTGAGGTGTGATCACTCCATAGAGAGCACAGGAGTTGGTCACTGCTGTGTCTGGCCACTGCATTCTTCAGGAAGGGGAGAAGTGGGAAGAGCATGAAAACTTGACTCCATCATCATGTGAACATTTTCAATCACAGAGCAGTTGAGCAAGTTGATTAATGTAGATAAATGAATAACACTTTGATGAAATAAACATGTCCCTGTGTTGTTGTTTAAACCCAGACGGTAACTCAGTGCCACAGAGTCACTTGCTTACCCATCTCTTCCCCCCTCCCGAGCGAGATGGGGAGAAGAATCAAAGGAATGTAAAACCCAGGGGTTGAGATAAGAAAAGTTTAATAAGTAAAATACAATATAATGCTACTAATAATTATAATGACAAGGGAAATAGCAAGGGGAGAGAATATAAAAACCAAAAGGGGAAAGGGAAACAATAAACAGCAGTGATGAGCAATACAATTGCTCACCACCCGCCGACCAATACCCAGCCCCACCCAACCAGCGATCAGTCCCTTCTGGGGGACTCCCCCCAGTTTATGTACTGGGCATGACTTGCTGTGGTATGAAATACCCCTTTGGCCAGTTTGGGTCAGGTGTCCTGTCTCTGCTTCCTCCCGGTTTCTTCTGCCTCTCCTCACTGGCAGAGCATGAGCCTGGAAAGTCCTTGACCAGGGTAAGCGCTACTGAGCAACAACTAAAACATTGGTGTGTTATCAGAGTGTTCTCAGACTAAAGCAAAAACACAACAAAACTGTACCAGCTACTAGGAAAAAAATTAACTTTATTCCAGCCAAAACCAGGACTATAAGAGCACAGAGATCAAGGGGATTTTGTAACATTCAAGTTACTTTCTTTAGGCGTATTTGGGAGGAAAACTAAGTGTATCTCTCTTTGCTTAGGACTAGATCATAATGTAACACACTAGCTGTATGCCATTTAAACCACATTTCTGTCGTTTAAATCATGTCATATGTGACTTATGTAATGAAGTTAATTTATGACAAATTTGACACATTTTCTACCATTCCTGCAAAAAAACATAGAAATGTCATCTTGGAAGTGTGTTTTTTATTGCGGTAAGCTTTCCTCTTCTGGGCAATAGAAGTTACACAGTATTGTTTTTAACACTTATAGCCTAAATATTTGTTTATAAGGGTGTGTATTTGTAAGAAGAAATTTAAAGCGCTCCCCTATTTTCTTTATATAAAAGACAAAAAATAGTATTTTTCGGGTTTAGATATTTAATAATTATATATATAATTAATCAGATTATATATCGTTTTCTACATTAAGGATGGCAAAAATTCTACTGCCCAGAAGTATAGAACAATAAACAAACTCCTTTATTTTAGAAGTGGTGCTCGTTTCAATCTTTTCCTATTAAAATTTGCAGGAAAATTAGTTTCTTTTATTTTCTAAGTAATGGCTATATGAATATTCAGAAAAGTGATGTGTTTTCCCTCCTTTTTTTTCCCCCATTACTATTTCCATGGTAAATATTCATAGGATTGGGATTTTTTAATGTTGTTCTCCCTGACTCACTTCCTTGTGTCTTCTGTACTTTTTGAACTTTCTCTTTTCCTTGCATGAATGATCTTAGATGTCTCTTGCCATCTTTTGTTTCTTTGGTTTCCTATACTGCTTTCTCCCTTCTTCCAGGCTTTCATCCTGCTGACTGTTGCTAATGGTTGAATTGTATTCAGTGCTCTGCAAAGAGCAGTTACATTCTGCTTTAAAAACCTGAATTGCTTAGTTACTGTCTGTTATGATGTTTACCAAGCATGCTGTCGGAGCATGACAAAAATGGTAGAAATATAACAAATATTTTTATTGTAGTAATAATAATATGTAGCCTCACAGTAATACCAAATTGCCCAAATTCACCTAGTTTTTTTTAACCTGCTTATACCTATCATGTTTGAATCAATCTCATTCGTAACCCTTCCCAGATGAATAAACTACCGCATCTGGTCGAGGAATTTTAATATCACTACATAATGAATACTAAATGCAACTATTTAATGTGTCCTCTTTCCATACGTTTTAGCCAGTCCACCCAAGTATAAGAAACACTGTTGAATCTACCTGAACTATTTCCAGACTATAGAAATAGGATTTTTCTGTGTTTGTTTTTAGGTTTGGGGTTTTTTTCATTATTATTGTTACTGTTACAAATTTCATTGCAGATTTCCATGGGATTGAGCATTAGAAATACTATCTTGTAAATATCTTACATTGGTTCTCCCATCAAAGTACTTACTGACTTTGTGGAACCTTAACATTTCACAGGAAGTTATTTTAGTGTTAAGCCCAGGATGAAATTTCTCTACAATAAATCTGTCAAGTATGGTGTTCCCATTCTCTTTTTTATGACACCTATTTTATTACAGTGCGCATTGGTTTTAATAGCTTAAGTTCCTATCTTCAAATCGTTGCTCAGTTTTGTTGTAGTTTACATTAAAATCCTGAGACTATTACATTTTATAGATATCTAATCTGTTGCATCAATGCATTTCCCTCCACTATATGTAGCTTTTGGAATACATATTTAATATTAAATATGAAAATATTATACTTATTGATAATATCTAGAAAGTCGTATTTGAGTTATGTTACTTATTTGTAATACTTTATAGCTTCACAGGATAATGCAATTGGGTGTCATCATCTCTGAGCTCCTGGAAAATGGTTCTTCTGTTATGGTTTGTTTGGAGGATGGCTGGGATATTACTGCACAAGTAAGCTGCTATTAAAACCTTGAAATAGCTAAATATTAAGAAAAAGCACCAAACAATAGTGGCTGATAATTAATCAATTTGTGTTGTGGCAGCAGAGAAGAAACTAGAAAGAGTGAATTCTTGTATTCATTTGCAGTTTGCACTATAAAAGAGTTCCTTAGAATTAATTTGTCCCATAGGTCCTGATGGACTTACAGTTCTGAGGATTAGATACAAAATCTGCATTCCTGAAACTGACCATATATGAGAATGAAAGCTGAAAGTTCCCACAACTGTTCATTTATCTTTGTAAACATAGTTCACTTTAAGCATAGGAGGGAAGGAGAGGAATTCCTTCTCTTGCTGTTCACTTTCCATAAGTGAAGTTAAGAGACCACACATGGAGAGAAAACTAAATTTGTGCTGAAGAGACTGTAACACCTGCTGCAAGAACTGATCAGCACAACAGATAACTTTCTGAATCAAACTATAAATAAGGTAAATGAAGACCTGCTGCCTTGTTTAATGGACGCATTGTGTACATGTAGTTGCGTCATAGTTCAGAAAATAAACACAGATATCAGTAATTCTAGGAAATAAAAACTTTGTGTGCAGCCAACACCCTGATACCAGGTAAACAAACCCACAAAAGAATGTTAATGTAATTACTGGAATCGTAGTCAAAAAACGAAGAATAGAGAAGGGGACATACACAGCTGAAAGTGAAAGAAGTTGGTGCTGCATTTTAGTCTCCTGACATGCTGTGTATAAAAGCAGGCTGAAGTTGGATAGTGAGCACCAAAGCATGACAACACTGCAGAAACTCTGGTGTCACCCTCAGGACCAATTCTTTAACACTTTCTTTGCTGAGGTAACCAATACTATTTTATAAATGTGTACTATCCTGTTTTATTAATGAAAGTGGTTTTATTTCAAATGTAATTTAAATGTGGTAAACACTATAATGACTTCCAAAGCCTCAGGTTTGACTTTTACAGTATTCTAAAGTCTCAATTTATTTGAAGCTTTTTCATGTGAAATATGAATTGGTTTGTTTTACAAAACTACTTAATCTATGTGGTAAAATCATAGAATCATAGAATA